TTAGTACCGGACACGCTGCAGAGTGAAGGTCCTTTGTGGCTTCAAAAGGGACAATGTTTGTGGGAGGGCTGGATTAGTTGCTTTAGCTTTCGTCCCTGAAAGGTCGTAAAGCTGCCACTCGGCCTTCATTTAGAGCCGAGCCTGTTGGGGGTGAAAGGATTGCGAGGGACTCGAGGGAAACTGAAGCTGGACGTCACCACACAGTCGTTCCCCCTCGAGGAAGTGAAGAAACACCGAGGCTGTATTTCTTAGTTGTGAAAAAGACAAATGTCACAGCGGTCGTATGAAGTTGCCTTTAGCACTGCGCAGAAACACACTGGTCTTATTCATCCTCCGCCATCGGCTAAGAGATGGAGATAATTTTTCTTTTTATTAGTGAATAACGGGGTATCGCATCGAGGGTCAGGGAGCATTCAATCATAATAATAAATACACTTAAAGTCATATTGAAGGATGATTCATAGCTCATGGGAGCCATCAGGAAGTGATGGGCCTCATATTTATCTGTGATCTAAACTTAATGGCAAAACTCGCTCAGTTGCAGGGGGGGGGGGGGGGAGTTAAATATGACGTCATGGATGATTTCCACATAGACTCTCAAAAGGTCAAGATTAAAGAGAATAATTTCATGTGTTCGGTCGATGCACGGTTCTCATGAAGTGATGCATAAGGGCCTGAGCCCAATGCAATGAAAACAATTATAAAAAGTGAGCTCTGTCTGATGAGGGTCATTTTTAAACATCTAGTTTTGGGATTATTACATTTGTAAATTGGAAACCTTCTTTACATCTATGCAAGGTTTTATGATGTCTTCTTCTGTCTTAATTTGGCAGAGATTAATCCACTGTCCTCCCACACCACCACCCTGGGTCTACCCCTGATCCCACGCTAGGATTACCCAGAGAACCCATCTGGCGCTTGCCAGCTAGTGGGGGGTATACATGATCAGAGCCCACTAAAAACACCGGCTCTGGTTGGTTAATCCCGACTATTACTGCCGTTTAAACCCGGACAGGCCTCTGAGCTGCAACCCAGATAGCTGTGGCTCAGACGTGCTGTGAGGTGCTCTACACAGATCAGGCCTGTTTCTTTCTATCCCCCTACCAGTGGGCGACTCTGGGAATGTGCCGACTGGGGAATCATGTTGCTCGATTTAATGTAATGGAATGATTTAATGTGATGGAGTGAGAATAATTGCCGCTGTTAAAGGTGGACTCAGAGATCACAACTGTGAATCATTGCATGCTAAAGACAACGGTCGTGTAAAACATCACTCCTCTGCATTTTATTTGAGTGTCTGAGCGATGGCTTTGAAGTGAGCATAGATAACGACTTCAGAGCCGTCTGACGGCAAAGTAAAGTGTTGGAAATAGCACCACAGCACTATATTGCTTTGCTACTGTGCTGGTACTCCCTAAACTGGAGGTGTGCAGACCGCCATCTACTGTAGGTAAATACACTGACTATGGAAAAGTGCCTCACACAAACCCCACTTCAAAAGGACCATTTGTATCTCGTAAAGGCATTGAACTACAGCTGTGTCAGAAGAAAAGCTGACTCAACCCACTGCAAACACACTCTCCATCTTCGAGGTCATTCTGTCTCTCCCCACGTGGCTTTTTGTTGTCACTACGTCCCGCCTGGCAGACCAGGATCGGAGCTCCATCCTGTGTGGGACCCCCTGAGCCGTGGCTCTCCCCTGGATGCGAGACCAGCTGTAAATTGGCCGGCGTTGTGTTCTTTTGTTTTTTAGTTCAGCCTTGTTCAGAGAGAACACGTGGGAGTGAGGCTACACGTGAGCTGTGGAGCTCATGGCTAAAACAAATCATCCTGGACTGGTCGTGTTAGGAAGGTTTTTCTCTCTGCTTGTGATGTGAAGAGAGGTTTCATGTATATCTGTTTCCTCCCTCTCTCTTGCTTTCTTTTCAAAATTATTCTTTTTAGGTTTTATTCTAGTCAGTAAAAACGTGTCAGACGGGCGTTGATGATTTGTTTGACTTTTGAAACTTGTAGAAAAGATAAGCAGGGAACATACAGTTCATTTTGGTGGATCTAAACTCCACTTACTTGCTTGTTCCGGAGCTTTTGACTGCATCACACGGTACTCATCAGCAGATTGATTTCACTCCTTCTAAATATAGATATGAGCACCTCTAGTACTCCCTATCAATATTTTTGTAGTATCTTCTGGGCAGAAGCATCACCTACATTCAACCTGTAGATATCGTTTAAGGTTGAACTGAAATGATCATTTATTTGGTGTGTTTTGGGTACTACTTTGGTCACAATTGTCAAACTCACTCAGCTAAAGTGCATCTCGGTTATAATGCTCATTATGTGTGTACAATGGCCTGCAAACCGTGTTGTGGAGAAGAACCCAGGAACCAATGTTGTGAAGGGGAACCCATGCGGATCAGATCTGGTATTTGGGGCCTGATCTCCCAAATGAGGCGCCCATAGCGGCCTTTTTGTTCGTCCCAGCGATGCTCCGGTCTTTCACAAGCCACCACAGCGTTCCTTTTGTTGGTTTTTCGTGTTTATTTTATCAAAGATTTCACTGTTTGAGGGTCTGAAGTTGGCCGGACTGTCAGGCCGCCGCTCCAAATCAGGGTACTTCAGAACAGGCATCACGCTTGGATAAAGAGGTTTTTTTTTTTATCCCAGTCCTCCAGTGGCCATGACTACACAGGAACCATCAGTGCTGATTTGACAACAGCGAGTTCATTCCCGCAAGGGGATGTGGTCATTCACTGGAATATTATATCAACCTCGATTCAAGTTTGTTGGCCGTAAAATGATTTGGCACAGCTTCCATTTGCTCATGTTTTGGCCTCATCTGCACTTTGTCAGCTCTTCTAAAAGGCTGGTGCCCCAGTTTCTGCTTCAAAGTAGCAGATAATTAACAAAGGATTAAAACAATAATGCTGAAACCAACATTTGCTTTATTTTACCTGATGTTTTTGCACTGAACTCAGTTGAACTTCACTGTGTTAGCGTACATGCCCAGATGTATCTTTCTTATTGTTGTTCTACGGAAAAATTCTGCCTTGCCGGCGCGCAAAGATAACTGTAACTGTGTTGTATGAGAATGTTCCAGCGCCAAGGCCATCCGGCCGCTTGTTTTGGTTGCTGGCCGTTTGTTTTTCACTGTTGTTTCCATCAGTCTGAGACCAAAATGCCTGTAACATTGGCCATCAGCCCCCACCGTTGCTCCTCCTGTATGAAGAAAGCGCATTCACTTTACACTTGGTTCGTTGTGGTTTTGTTGTCCCTAAAATTAACGTTTGTGACGGTTTTCCTAAACTGTACGTTGTTGTTTTAAACCCAGTCATTATGTTTTTCCTAAGCCTCAGCAATTTGTTTTGTTGCCTAAACCTAAGTTTAAGTAAAAAAAAGCAGTTCCGAGCAATACCAAAAAAAGAAAATTGGTGTCCCTGTACTCGAAACCAATAGATTGCATTTTGTGACTCTTTCACAAACTGCCGTGAGACTGTGTTGAAATGTTGGAGACCTTATATGACGTTGTTGTACATCAAGCATCAAGGGCATTGTAGCTGTTTGTTTAATTGCATGTCTCCTGACCCCCTGTGAGTGTGTGAGTGTGTGTGTGTAGGTGACATACACAAAGTCCTTCCAGTGTTGCTTTAATCCTGCTA